CTGAGTCTGTTAAAAAAAAAAAATCAAACCAACAAAGAAGTGAGAAGTCTACCATACGTTATCCAGTAACTTGGCACGATGCCTGCTTAACTAAGTCTGTACCCATTGTCTAGGCAGACTATTCCTTTCGAGTTTTTGTGAAGTCTGCTTATATTAAAGTCAAATACCAATGATGATAAGATTTAATTAGTACTCAAAAAGTGTAGTCTTTAAGTCTCGAGTGCCTTTTTCAGTCTTCCTTCATTGGAAATAAGCTTTGGAACATTTAGATACTTGGTGACAAATTTGATGCCAAAGTGTGGGTCTCATAGCTAAATGTGTTTGGATAACCAGTCCTCTTTAGATGAAAAGGAGGACTTTATACCCTGCTACTTTTAAGGAAAAAGTAGTAGGGTATAAAGTTTCTGGATGAGGAATTAAGATTTGGCCAGAAAAGGGGCTATATAAAAAACCTCTCGCAAATTGTTCCATTTAAAATATGGCTGAACATGCTTTTGTTAACAAAAGAGACATACTGTTTTACCCAATAAGTAGCCAGCCAGAATTAATTGGCAGAAAGCCCTTTGCAGAATGACACACATCTCTTAATGCCCAAGTCAGAAGTGGAGGATGTATTCCATGTGATAAGTACCTTAAGCAAAAACACAGGAAGAGTTGCTCACATTCTCTGCTTTCTGCCTTGGAAAATCAAAGCACATGAATTTATTTTAGCACATTCAGACTCTAACAATCCACTTAGCAGTGAAAAAGAGAGCTGCTTGGGAGTGGTAATACTGTGTTAATGAAAAACAATGTTGTAAGGGCTCTTACACTCAGGAACAATTTTCTTTGTATTCCTTCTTTTGTTGTGTATTTTCTATCTGTTCTATTCTGCTGTTAATATTTTAGGAGGTGATGGGAAGGTTTGTTTGTCATATATTTTGCTTGCAGTGGACTCATGTATTATTGGCCGTCAGTTTTGGTGCTCAGCTGCTGGTGATGCAGAAAATTAATAGAGCCTTCAGCCCAGGCAGGATGATAACAGAGTGCTGGGGGATGTGCCATCCCCACCCATGTGACTCAATAGCTCACACTACCAATAAGCTGTTTGCCCTTTGGAGTGCTGTATTAATAACCTTCATATTTTGTATGTTGGTATTTTAAAGTTGGCCCTGACATGCCTAAATAAAGACAAGTTGCTAAAAATGCAGCAAGAGGAAAGGGCAAGGAAGACATATTTTCTTTTGGGGAGCATATCTCTTTACTGGTGGTGTGCTTGTTACCTCTTCAAAAGCAAACTTCAAGGTGATGGATCAGTTTTAGCCCGTCTGAATGAGGGACAACATTTTTAGAGAGCTGCTGCAGAAGAAAGACTACAGTAACTACTGTCAAGGGGATATTTTCCCACTGAACTCAGAATAGCTGTGCTGATTTAACTGGCTGCTGAGCTGGCCACACACCATTTGTCCTTGTTCTTCTGTTGTAGTGTTTTGAGAAGAAGAAATAGTGAAATGGGATCTTGGGTGATGGGGGTGGAGGTGCTGAAAACTTTCATGCTGTTAAAAAAATTGCAGAGTCCAGGACAGAAGACAGGAAGTTAATGCTGAGGGACAGCACAGATATCACAGTGAAATGAGAATAAGATAGAGGGAAACTAAAAGGTGGATCAGAAGGGAACAGGACAGGTGGGTACAAATAATGCTGGGAAGTTGTGGGGAATTGATTTTTTTGGGGGGCTAATCTTTCATACCAGCCAGTCAAGCACCTCTGTGGAGCCATTGAGGACCCACTCTCAATTAAATTCCTGAACATCATATGAGCTCTGGCTTCTCTGAAGGACACAGAGTCTGCACCGTGTAGGTACGGTGTGTCAGATGATGAACACTTATAAAAGGTGTTAGTCCAAGCAAATCCATTCCCACACCTGACCATAAGGGGCAAAATACAGAAAGCTGGAAAAGCAGCCACCTCCCAGATGTGCAGGTCTTCAGTTGCTGGTGCTTAAAGAGAAAACCTGCCAAGACAGTTTGAATATTTGTGTGACTAGATAATATCTACACAGAATGTTCCATCTGCAGGGCCGTTTCCTTTCCTTTAGAAGAGGGCTTAGCTATGGCTGTGAAACAGTCACTGCTGAGCAGAGGAATATGGTACAAACCACGTAACATTTTTGCACCCAATATTTGCACAAGAAGCAGTGGAAATGGTTAACTCCCTCTTTCTCCTGGTTGCTGCTTGGTCAAGTTCTGAGAGACCTCAGTGAGGGTTTGGGCTTTGCAGCTTGCCGGGGGTAAGGTCCTTAGTACCTCAAAAAAAAGTAAGTAATATAAAATAATAACTGCAACTGGCTCTTAGGAAGGTTTGCAGTGTGTGCATCAGCTTCTGTAAGGTAACATCTGGGTGGATAATGCAAAATTTATATTTAGCTCAGCTGCACTTAGGAGCAAGTTTAGGACAGAGAAAAGAGAAGACTAAATTGGGTTTGTAGAGGGAATGGAAAGCATAGAAGAGCCTTTTCCTTGCTCCTTGTAAAGCCTTCGCTCCGGAGAATTTCTGCTTTCCTGGACAAATCGTTCCTTTGAATGATTTTAGCTTCTGCATCAGAGAAGCTAAGAAAACCACCAAAACCCTTAGTTTTCTTCCTTTCTCCCATCCTCTCAGCTCAGAACAGAGGACCGTGCTGGCTGGTTGGGCATGGTACTCTGTTCTGCGTTTTGGAAGATTGGGAGTAATTTCCTATCCTGTTTCCATCTAATGAGGGAGCTCTGGGAACTAAGCAGCCCAAGCACATACCAGTAGGCCTGCTGGAGCCCTTAGCACCAGCTCCTTTAACATCCTGCCTCCCTGAGAGAGCAGTGCCAGAAAGCCAGGCTGCCCCACAGCTCATGAGCTGCCAGACTGTTTTCGGCTGCTGTTGAGTCATTTGCTGTCTTCTGTGAAAACAGAGAATCACAGCAGAAAAGTCAACGGCTGTAAAATGGCCAGGCTGATAAAAGACCTGAGAGTCCAGAGGAAACATCATCCTGCACGACAAGGCATCTCTGAAGTGTCCATCCTGCTGAAACATGGTTGTTTTCATCATCAGGAAGTACAACATGAATATTTCCTATCCTGTAAAAACTCCTTAAACATAAAATTGCTAGATACACCTCTTGAAGTGCAAGCTTTCATCTTAACTGTTGCTTGTATGCTGGAGTCAAAAATTGGTCCCTCAGCTTTCAGTTCCTTGTACAATAGCAGCACATTTCTCCTGTTGAACACAGACAACAGGGGCTTTAAAGCATTTTCATGGTTTGTTTGCCATTTCTGCTTTGGGTGTATTTTTTTTTCTTTATGCCAAAAAGAGTTTCCACAAAATTGTAGTTTATTATTTGAAAGGTGATATTTTTCAGTGAAGCAACACAACACAAAATCCACGACTTTTTAATCAACAGTGCTGGTGTATTTTCTTCCCTTTAAGAATTAGTTCTGCAAAAAAAACAAGCCCAGTAACCACCTTAGGAGAAAGAGTAAGACAGTTCTAATGATCTCCCAGGGAAACCAAAAATGAAGTGCACAGCATCATTTGCTTGATCTTCAATTATTATTTAATTATCCTACTGATAGGCTCTTTAATTGCCTCTATTGGACAATTTCAGATGACTGCTTTTGTTATTGTTCACTTTTCCTCAAATGCTTCAATTGTGGACTCGCAGAAAAAAAAAAAAGAACACAAACCACCTTTCAAAAAGAGATGCAGGCCTGTAAAGACCCTGTTAAAACATCATGATCCTAAGCTGCTTGGTTGTGTTCTTCAGTAGAGATGCAGCTTTAGGGCTTCCTAAGTGGTACCAAAGTTAATTTGGGGGGAAAATACATTGGTGTGAGTGCACCTTCCCTTCAAAGCCCAGCCAGTTTCCCTTATGCACCAGGAATGGCTCACTAAGTTGAGGCAATAATGAAGTATTGAGCTATGCTCAGCACAGTCTGCAATGTCAGAAGCTGTTGTTTGCAAATTAGAATTGCTAAATACTAAAGGAAGCGAGAACAGCAGTAATAAGAGCAGTGACACAACTAAGCTGTTTATTAAAAAGAAAATAAAAAATTCATCAGCTTTGAGATTCGTGGAAATGACATGAGTGTGTCCTCTTGTACTATTGTGCTTCAACAACAACAGTCTGTCTCATTTTTTAGTGCTCTAGCGAAATTTTTTATATCAAATTGCCTTCAATGATCCATCATTACTTCATAATGTGGTAATGGTGAGAGACCAAAGCAGGCTAATGAAATAATCCGAGCTGCTGAGGTGGGAAAGCCTCTCAAAGCTGCAGCTGAGAGCAGAATTTTCAAGGCTGATACACCACGGACAAACACAGAGGCAAGGCAGGAACAACAGAGTGAAAATCTATGCTCTGGAACCTGGGGCTAGGAAGGAATGAGTAGGTTGGAGGATGAATTGACTAGTTGCTTTTGAATAAAACTTACTGAGCAGTCCATCCCCCTTCAGAATTACCAGTAGTGGCAGGGAAGTGGTGGTTCCCTGCTTCACTGAGTGGGTAACAAGCTCATACACTGGGCTTTTTACAGCTCCAGGACTTCTTATCCCTCTGCCTCCTTAGCCAGGAATAAACTTTATGTTTTCATTTGGTATTGAACTTTACCCAAGAGAAAAAGCCTGGATATAATTAACTTATCATTCTTTTGTCTGTTCTCCAAAACCAGCAGTGTTTTTTTGATTTTTGTGTTCATTTAGAGGTGGGGGTTTTTTGCCTAATATATTCCTATGTTGAGATCAAACTGGTGACTGAGTATGGCCAGGAGAAAAGTGGCATTGCAGGAAGGAGCATTTAATTAAGCAATAAAGTGTGCTTTAGTGATACTAATGCTAGAAAAACTCTCACTTAAAGCAGACTAATAGAGTACATGTGGTGTGCTGGAAGGCTGGTGCTCCTATTAACAAACCTGACAAGCTTCTGAACTGGGTTTTGGAGACCAAAGATAAGACACATTGGAAAAAAAAAAATCCCACAAGACTAAAGACCTTTTATCAGTGGTGCATGTGCTTTTTTATTAATAATACAATAACAAGGCATTAGTTACAAATGTTTGGTATCCAGGTGACCTGTATCCTGACAGACATGAGGGTTTAAAGACAGTAACATCTGCTGGCTCTGTCACCCTAAGAGTATTAGCAAAGCCCAGTACATATTACTAAGATCTTCATGCAAACACACTGGAGGGAACTTTAGTTGAAAAGAGGTGATTTTCTTTCAAACTTCTCCTTTGGTTTCATTTAACAGACAGTAAAGTTTGGGAAGATGGAATCATCATCTAGAAAATTTTTAATTCATGAGCACTATAGGTTTCATGGAGTTCCTTAATTAACAGCCTAGAAATTGTACTGCCCCACCATCCTGAGCTTAGAAACAGAGCAGCCCCCAAGAGGAAAGGCACCATTTATGGTTATTTTTGCTGCCCACACTGTGCCAGGTCAGGGCACTGATGTGCAAAGCATGGTAATAAATGACATGGAGCAGCAGCCCATAGTCTGGAGCTGCCTCACAAAGGCAGTGAGTGACACATCATGAAGTTCTGGCCTTTGAGGGAGCCCTTTCACCTTAGCAAATGCAAAAAAAAACATAGCAAGGGATTTACTGAATTGCCAAGCAAAGACATTCTGAGTAACAAGGGTAGCCTGGGAGAACTTCATGACATGGTAGGGAAGGCAAGTTAGATTCTTCAAAAAAAAAATTGTCCAAGTGGATTTCAGATTCAAATGGATTTAGAAACATTATATTTCTCTTAAGTTGCAGAGGTCTGGACTAACAGCTTTTACCTTCATTATGTAGTTTGAGACAAGAGTGCAGCCATTCAGCAGGTCACTTACCAGCACAGTCCTGCATTTAGGACTCTACTGTCATAAGAAAAGTAGCTTAAATCCCTACAATTACCTTGCAAAAATCTCACCATTCGTAAGATTCAAGATGTGTATTTCACACACTGATCTCATTTCATGTTTGTTCTTTTATGCAGCAATTAGAAGAGTTTTGTTGTTAATGTCTGATTTATCTGAACTATCGAATACAACAGCCAGCAGATTTCTTAGGGCTCACAGGGAGCAGAACACAGATCCATGTTAATGCTTCCTAAGGCCTTTTAAAGAGCTGTCATTATTACTGTGTTGCAGTCAGTGCTTTTTTTATCACATTAGTACATCCACATTGTTATAATACTTTGTGTGTTTCATCAAACATTTTCAGACTTACATTTCCAAGGCTGGGCCTTAGCCAAGGGGATGTCTTTAGATGTTTCAGTGTAGACCCCAATTTAGGGTCCAGACTCTCAGTTCACATCAAATCATGACTTGATCATGCTGTAATGATGCCGAGCAAGGATCTGGCCCTGTGGCACCATGTTTAAAAAGCTGTATGTCATAAAATACATACTGTTTAGTAGTGGCCACACTCATCCCTGGCACAGGAACACCTAAAGCCTCATGAATGCAGTATGATTCTGGGCATGTTGGCACATTGCTTCCTCCTTTCCAGCTACAGCACAGTCCCAAAGTGCATCACTAAAAGTGCTCTGTTGAAAACAGGCCAGTGCAAAAACATGAGAGTTTGTCACTGCAAAAAAATGGCTTTTTTTTGTCTTTTTTTTTTCAACTGTGTGCTTCTAATTAATCCAACAGCATTTTCAAATAATTTAAGCAAGTGTTATCTTACAGAATTAGAGAAAAGCAAAACATTAACATATATAATTATTAAATAAGTGGAGGAAAAGATGAAAAATCATCAGCAATTCAAGATAGGAACACACAAAGTGGCAAAATATTAGACTATTTCTCTGCCTCTAAATTCACTCATGACTTGAACAGGATGGATTCTCTTCTTTGCAGAACCTTTTCTGACAGCAGCATAGATTTCTTCTGGCTTCTCTCTTTTAATGAGGGGCTTCTTCTCTGGAGCCTTCATTCTCCACATGACAACTGGATGTCGTGGGCCAGTGGGACTCTGAATCTTGATAATCTTTGTGGATGCAATATAGGACATCTTCACTGTCTGCACCACAGCATTCATTAGATTTTTAGCGGCCTGAATTAGCGAAGTGACGCTGTCCAACTGTAACAAGAAAAGGACACATCAGCCTGGGAAATCGGTGTGCTTTTAATCACAGCATCAGCAGGAATAAACAACAGTTAAAAAATAAGGCTACCATACTAAATCCTAATTTCCTTACTTTCCCTTGATGTGTTTGATCACTATATCCATGTTCCCCCGCTCAGATTTAAAGTGATATACAGAAATTTGTGCTGGTGGAATATATGAAGGCTTATGTAGACAATGTTAATAGTTTTCTTGGTTTTTAATGTGAATTCATGATACTTGTCCACAGAGTTTCACTGCAATTACTACTGGTGGTTAATGAAACCAATTCAAAGAAGAGCTGTGAAAATCTGACCCGTTACTTCCACACATGCTCATGAGCAATGCTGGGATACTACAAAGTGCCTGGATTTGTCAGGAGCCAAGTCAGCAGCCAAGAGCTGTAAGGGTAATTAAGAGCAGGATAGCACACAGAAATCACAGTGACTGTGTGGCCTCTCCAGCTGCTTACAGAGTGCCAACCTAAGAGGTAGAATGTAGAACAAACTAATCCCCATCACTGCTACCACCTTCAGCAGCACACAACACAGGCATGCAAGAGGTACAGCAAAGGTATTTTCCATCAGTAGTCATGGAAACACAAAACAGTAACACTGAGGAAGCTCTCTATGGTTTGGATGTTAAAAATAGCAGGACTAATCTATATAAATGGAGAGCCTACAATTCACCTTCTAAACATCCCATTTGTTGAAGCATTTGCCTTCTGTAAAAGCACTGAGGCCAGTTCTCTAAAGGGCCATGAGTTTGTGCTTTGCCATCCAACCCAAGCCCACAGCCTTTGGCAACACAGTTTTGCAAACTGAGTCATTAGGAAAGGTTAAAGGGCTTTGCCCTTTGCCTTTTGACCCTTTGCCAGGTCAATTGAATTGATCACGTTCTCAACTGGAGTGTGTTATTGTCTGTCTTCATTGTCTTTGGGTAACACTTAGGAACACATGTTGGTTGTGTAACACAAATGCAAATAAGGTAGAAATAAAAAATACAGCCAAGTGTCTGGATTCAGTTGCAATTTGGAATCACAGAAAAACCCTCCAGTTAACACAGCACTTACTGCTCCTCTCTGGAAGTGCCGAAAAAAAATACCCCTTGCTACTCCCACCCCACCTCACAGTTAAAACAGTTAGAGGCCTTGTTGAATGCACACCTATGTGAGATGGCAAACTGAAATTACCTCTGTGCTCCAAGAAAAGGTGTTAAATTTACCAGATGGTTGCTAAAGTTCACTCCTTGTTGCAGCGTGGGAGCTTTCTACAAAGGACAGTTTATAAGAGCCCTGTGATCCGTGCAGGGCAGTGTGTGGCCATCACATTGTGGGGGTTGTGGGTTATAAACTGAATTAGGGAAGCCACTCAGCTCAGTTTGGCAGGACAGCACAGCTCCTATGAAACCATTTGACATGAAGTTCAAAGCACATGCTGACCCCCAAGCCTAATTTCAAATACTGCCTTTAAACCTAACATTTTACAAACTTCCAGGCTGTCAGTAAGGTTTCTGCTCACAGGCCCTGTCCTTACACTCCTGACAAGTCTGCAGTTCCCAGTACATCCATTTTTCTAGGGATGCTGACTGGGGTGTAGCAGTAGCTCTGTGGCAGATGAACTCAAGTCCTGGCCAAATTTCACACTGCTGAATACTGTCACAAAAAATTTATTTGATGAGAAGGAGAGAGACAAAAGTTCACATGAACTTCTTTCTTTCCTGCTAACCAGAGGATTAATTATAACAGACACACCCATGCATACACACACAAAATTTTTTTTTTAATTGAATTAACAGCTGACAACACTATAGTCTTCACAGCTTCTTAAAAGCTTTGAATAATCTTTTTGCTTCGCTAAACAGTCAATACGTACACATTCACTTTTCTAGCACTGGCAGTATAGCAACACCAAGGTGAAACTGCTGGGTGAAAGGAAAAGATAGCTTTGGTTCTATTGTAGACTTAAAAGGCAGTTTTTCACCTTGAAGTTTGTCAGTGGCTTTAAGTGTTCCAGCTTTTTAAAGCTGCATTAGAGACACACGAGGAGAATGAGAGGCTGGGCAGCAAGATGGGCTGGGGTGTCAGTGGCAGGTCCAGTGAAAGCTGCTCCAGGAGTAGGGAAAAAAAAATATCTGTTTGCATGGAAGGGAAAAGGCTTCTAGAAGAAATTGGCAGCATCCAGGCAGGATAAAGGTAATCACAAAACTTCAGCTGTTTTTTTATTGTGACTTCAGTGTAACTGTGAAACATGGATAATGAAATGGGATCCTTTTAGGTGAGCATTACAATTTACTTGACCTTTCCTCTCCTGTGGAAACTGAACAGTTACCACCTTGTTCTGGCATCTAGGGCTCCTTTAACCAAATGCTTGTGGTTCTGAAACAGTCCACAGCTCCCTCACCCCACCACTGTGATCAAGAAATTTTTATGTCTTAAACTATAATCATATATATCTACTATAAACAACAAATAAACTTCATGGGCCCCTAATTTTGATGAGGTTATAACTGGAAACCAATATGTGGAATGTCAGCCTCACAGTCTGACATGGGTTCTGGGAGTGGACACCTGCCAAGTCCAGCATTTTAAACGCTAAAGCTCCAAAGACTGACTTCCAAACCCAATTGTACCGAACTGAGGTGGCTGAGTTCTACTTGTCATGCCAGAGGAACCAAACTCTTTAAGCTCTACAAAAGATGCCCTGAGATACAAACAGGTTTGCAGATACCTAAACCAAAAATATAAGAAATAGCTGAAGGGCAGACGACCTACAGACCACTGAGGATGTTTAAATAAGGGGAGTGCAGTTTAAATTAGGGTGCTGCAGCTATCACAGGGATGGAGTGGGTGGGTGTGTAGGTGGTGTATGTCAGGACAGGCAGCAACCCACATTAATTCTACTTTCCTCTTGGCGTAGGCAGTGAGACACAGGGAGATTCAGTTAATGCTACTCTTCAGGCTCTGTCCACATTATTTGCAGCATCCTACTGCCCATATTTTCCCCTCAGCTTCCTGGATGCATCTCACACTTGTCTTCTAAACAGGAAGGCGGCGGCGGTGGTGGTGGGGATATTAACGGCATCCAATATTTTGGAGAAGCTTTTAAAAGATGTTCTTGGACATGTACCATGGATGACAAGAATCAAGCCATACACTGAATCTTTTTTTCTGTCTCTAGAGAGCAGCTGTTTTTATACCTCAATGCCAGTAGCATTATAGAATTTGGTGGAAACCTGTTGTTCTTCTGTAAAACTGATGTACTCAAGGGCTGTCTTCGCTTGGATGCTTTTATCTCAGATATTCAGCAGGCTCTTCAAGGTCTCATATCCAGGAAAATTGATGAAATGAAACTTGGCATAAATGAAAGACTGATAAAATATTCATTGAACGTTTAAATTCATTTCATTTACAGAAATGTAGCTGCAAACTCCTCAATGCACAGCAAGTGGTACATAAAGATTCAGTAGCAAAACAAACAAAACAACCCCAAACGAAAAGCTGTTTTATTTTTGCCTGACTCCACTTTTTCAGCATTTTCCATGGAGATGCAACATTCCAGCCTCCACATTTCACAGGTCTGACTCTGTCAGTTAAGACAGTAATTCATTAAAGGTTTTAGGGAAAACATCCTTTGCCATATCTTTACTCACCTGTCCTGTTATTTTCCATTGCAAAACAAACACAGAATGATTCTGTAACAGTGATTATAGAATCACACTGGGGTGAAACACAGAAGATATAGACCTGATCATATTTTTTTACCCAAGCCCCACCACCACTACCAAAAATCCTACTGGCAACCCTCCTGCTGAAATGGACTCTCATCTCCAGCACTTTTATTCTTCCTCTGCAATGAGTCCTGAATGAAAGTAAGCAAAGTCTCCAATGAGTAATAAAGCTGAAGAAAAGGGAGTTTGGGGGGGGGGAAGTAATTTTTAAACTTTATTTTCAATTTGTTTACATGCATTGTATTTTTCTCATTTTTGGTAAAATAATTTCATGTCTTGGCAGTAGTAGCAATCCATTACTGTAATAAAATATTGAACAGTATAATAACTGGTATGGTCAGTTATTTTTAATATTCAGTGTGATTAGGAGAATTGTGACTTAGAATTTGAAGAAACTCTTTTGCTGTTGAAATATTTTCTGTTCAGTGCACTAAGAAATGCTTGCCTTGTCACGTGTCACCAGGAGTCGTTTCTGTAGCAGTTAAATACAAAATTTCCCTACTCCCAAAGCACCTAAATAAGCCAGAGTCCCACTCCCATTCTTCGCATAGATTTGCAGGTGCTGCCTCTTTGCCATAAAGAAGTGACAGCCTTTATTCCTTCCTTCTGGAATAAAGCTGTGAGGGACTGCACAAAACCGTCCTCACAAAGCATTGGATACGTATGGTGCCAGTGTTTGGAGTCCCAGCTGGGACACCCCGACTGCTCTGCTCTGAGCATTCTTGTTTTGTTTACAGGGAACTAAGGTTTTGCTATTTGAGAACAGATTATCAGTTGGCTGTTTACCTTCTCCCAAGTTGTTTTTGCAGTTCAACCAGACTTTTGGTTTTTGTACAGGTGGGAGCTGAGAACTGAATATGAAATACACAGTTCTTTTGTCAGTGTTTGAAGCCTGAACTTAAAATTCTTTTGGAAGCAAGGTCAGTTATTAAAAATTAATCTTAATTGAACCACAAGGTTCATTAAATACATTCCTAGAAGCAAATTTCCTTTGTTACACTATACTGAGAGACTAAGACTGAATTTTTAATTCTTTGACAGCTCAAAAATAACACGAATTCTACATTTCTGTAAAGAGCAGTGAGTGTCTGAGCAGTGCTCCATTTAAGGTAAGGAGTACTTACTACATTGTGCTTTTGATTTTAGTCCTGCTTTTTTTACTATGCTTTTACTATTTGATTTTGTGAATTTCTTTCTTGTGCTTTCACTAAGGTTGCTATATAAAATAAAGTGATTTAATTCCTTAAGATTAAAAGTAGAAGAAAATCCAAATAGGTTAATTATTAAGAGTGAAATCTTGACTGTTGAAGACATCAGAGTTTTTCCTTGTCCTTGGCCAGGATTTGAACACAAGTTACTCGACCTGTTTTCTGAGCCACACTAGTGATAATTTCATTTTAACGGAGATCTTGACGTAGCAGCGACACTAAGAGATGGATGTTCAAGGAAGCACAGAAAAAAGTTAAAAGAGTTGGAAGCACATCATTTCTTCACACAACTTCATTCAACATACCACTTCATAGATTCAATCCCAGTTCAGGTTGTATAGAAAATAAGCCAAAGGGAGACTTGCCATTGTGATTTTTTTTTTTTAATCTGGAAACTGTTCACCTCTGCTTTGCCATGTTCTCCCTTGGGATATTGGAGAGATTTCATCCCCATTCATGGAACTGGCCTCAGGAAATCTGCTTCACCCTTTGCGTTGTTTATTTTCAATGAACTGAGTTTTCCTAAAAATGCAGCAATCCTGTTGGTTATCTATGTCTGTCTGTCCATTCAATGATTGCATTTTATACCTCAAGAGTTTCTGGGGTTTGATCTGTGTTTTACTCATTTTTCAGGTGGGGAAATTGAATCTAATGAACTAAATAACCAACCATGACCAGAATCTGCTTCAGGCTAAGTAGGATTCAAAGAACTGAAACTGAGTCCTGTAATTAGACCAGGCCTGTGGCCAAGTTAAATGATAAACAACTTACATTAAGGGTTGTAAAACTGTTCCTATGCAACACCATAATGTAGCAGATGCTTAGCCAGGCAGTTATCTCAGTCCCTCCCAAGTACTCACTTCCAGGGAGGTTTAAAAAAAAAGAATCTATCTCTTTTTAAAAACAGGTCTTGAGAAAAATCCTTTATAAAGGATAATATAAATCCTTTCCTTGCTGTTTATGAAGAAATTGAATGCTTGTCACAATAATCTTTGACACGCACTGAGGCTCAGAACTATAAAACACATCCGGATTTTTGGTAATTACCAAAGTAATTATTATTAGGAAAAGTTAACTGGCTTGTAGTGTACCTCACCAGCAATACTTGCTACTCCTTTGAATTAGTTCTCAGTAGATGCAGTTTAGAAAGCAATAGTAACTGAGATGCCTGGAATTGACAGGAAAACCTGCTTTGCTTTGCTTCCAAAGGCCAGGAGTTCTATATACACACACCTGCCAGCACATACTAGGCAAAAGCAGAGAAAGCTGTAGTGTTATTACATTAAAAAAAACAACCAAACAGTGAAACATTTCTTCACTTCTCAGTAGAAGAAAATTTTAATATATCAGCTCTTGAGGGCTAACATCAGCTTTTACAAAATGGGTGTTTTAGTATTTTCAGGGTCAGACATCAAAATAAGAAGTCATTTTAAGCATGGTGTAAGGCCCTATAAGTAACCTTCCACCATCCTTTCAAACAAACTGAACTACACGTTCCAATGACGTGGAGGAATACCAGCCAGGAGAAACAAACTGGCTGAACAGGGAGCAGTGGACACTCCCCTGATGCAAGAGGCATCAGCTTTGCCAGAACAGCTGCTGTGGACCTAAAGCAAGGCAGAAGGGACGTTTTTCCACTGAAGGTCACACAGCAGTGAAAGCAGGACAGCAGCACTGAAGGTGGTGGAACAAACCATCTATGTGTAGTAAATGCAGTGGGCTGTAACAGCAGCCCACATTTCAGCAGGACTGCCAGCATGCTGCTTAGTCCTTTGTTCCCTCTCTTCAGTCCTACTGGGGCTGCAGCTGAGAAGCAGTTCTGCCCACCTCGACTTCTCTTTTAGGGGGAAAAAGAACGTCTAGAAACCCTAAAAGGAACGGAAATGCACTGCTCCCATCTCCCTTGCCAAAGGAGCAGCTCTTCAGGAGTTGAGCACAGTGCCAGCTCTTCTCCAGTAGCAGCTGAAACCCTCCAAGTGGAGCGAAGGCGTGGAGCCACTTGCCAGCTGCCACAGCACTCACACATTGGCCAAGACATCACTTTCCTGGGGTATGGATATCCAAGGATTGGGACTGCGTCAGCCAAAGGCCTGGTGGCAGACACCCTGCCTTGTATTTTGCTACCTGCTTCCTTATATATAGCTCTGACTGTGTTTTCACCTGCGGCACAGCCTTCAAAGCTGAAGGGCGTTCATAGCAATGCAGGGAACTTTTGATTTAACAGCCATGGGAACTCAGTGGTAACTCAGGAAGTAGAGCAGACATTTAAATCCAGTCTCGAGTCATGAAGTTGGAAGTATTAAAGCACTTACATTTGGCACAAAAGCTGACTTACGTCACTGTTTAAGGTAAAGTCTGGCTCTTGAGATACCAAGAGGAAGAGCAGAAGATAAATGAGACATTTGGAGAAAAACCAGAGTGACAAAGCCTTCAGTGCACAGGTAAGGTTGGCTAACCTGAGAGGGCTTTTCTGTGCCAGTTAGCAAATGTAACTCTGTAACTCTGGATACTGTAACTCTTGAGAACTCTCTCTTCACACATTTCCTTTTTAAGGTCAAAAAGCTCTATCTCCCTTGCCAAATACAACATAAAATGAAATACAGGAAGATAATGAGTATAAACAGCACAAAACAGAATTGCCTGGCATAAGTCAGGGAGAATGATATTAATATGTAAGGATCTGTTAATTTTCTGCTCTGTGATATAATTTGCTTTACTTAAAGCCACTGCTGGGGAAAAAACCCATCAAACTGGCAAGGTAAGGTGCAAGCCTATCACTGTGCAGTACTTGAGAATGAATTATCAGCTTATCTATATAAATGAATGCAACTATTGTCAATCTGCATACTGCAAATGTTACCCCATTATTTTGTGCTTGAAGAGGCACAAATTTATTCCAATTAATAGAAGGAAGTGTCCGTTTCCTGTTTAATCACTCCTAATGAAGATGCAGTGAATCCTTACCTTTTTTTCTTGTGCAGCTCACAAACAGGAAATACAAGCTGCATTATTGAAAAATGTAAGTATTTTATGGGACCATGAAAGACTAAACACTGATCAAGGAATTATTAATGAGTGATAATAACAAAACTGCAGTGAGTGGAGAATTAGAAGCTAATGATCTACATCTCCTCTTTTTCTGTACATGACCTTTATAACCTCCATAACTGGGGCTCTGACTAGAATGAAGTTACTGGAGCTTGGGGAAGGACAGTGAGAAAGGTGGACAACAAGATTATATGGCCTGAAGTAAAAAAGCCACTAAATGAGGAGAAAATTCCTAGTTCTTTCCTAAGAGAGAACTTTTAGTTAGGAGAACTCTCAGCTGGATACTCCCCAAAGCATCCCAACTGGCCCAGGCAAACTGGCCTATTTAACCTATGCTAATGATATGGGGGGAGTTATTAATTTTGGGCAAGAAACCCTCCAGGGGAAGTTGTTAGAGGAATGTTACAGGGAAGACAAGGTTACAGGGGACACAGCTGAAAAGCAGCTGAAGAAGGTAATGTGGTACCAAGAATTAATGACTATGAACTGTGTTCATGGATTTAAACATACTTTTTCCTATGCATAATGTTTGCTCTTTTTTGTCATGCAGTAAGTCCCAAACTGAGCTGTGCTGGCAGTCAGCAGTACCTCCCCAGCTACAGTGCTTATATAGGTGAGAATACAGAGACATAGGTGCCCTCATACCATGGCACTGCTGACCACCGTTATATGGTCCTAAACAGTGTTCATCTGTAATGCCATTTATATCTACTTTACTTGCTCTGCCATAGCATCATCCAGAAGAAGATACTGGTAAGACAGATGATGTGACTTAACACTTAACTCTATTTCAAGCAGATAGATCTACAAATATGGGATAATATATCCTTCTTCATTTCCTCCTGACCTGGAAGTACATCTCTGGGGGATTTCTTTTTGTGTTCAGACACACGTATGTGCATATTCCATGTGTGTAAGTAAATGAACCACCATCTTAAAGTTTGTTACAGTACTTAAAACCAAACTACTTCAGAATAACAGTGATAATACATAATATGTTTTGAGAATTAAAAAGAAAAAAAACCAAACAAGTGATTGCTATTCCTTCTAAGCAATTAGTCTTACGCTTCACTGTCTTAGATTCTCTGTGTTGTGTATAAAAAACAGGAAATAAAATGAGACTTGGGGCTACATTGGAACATTTCTTGTGGGTCCCTTCCAACTCAGTATATTCTGTGATTCCATGATATTACAAGTACAGGAAAGTCCAAATGAAATGCAACACTTATGTCAATTAACAGAGTAATTTATACCATTTTTCTACTTACAGCAGACATGATAAGCTCTCCACCAAGATTCTGGATTTCTGCTTTAACTTGACTGCAGATTTTGAGCTGGTGGGAGTAGAGCTTGATCTGTTCTAGGTAAGCCAATAAATCCTGTTTGCACGACTGGTCTGGACACTGAAAAGAACAATTAATAAAGCATTTCAACAAAATGCTGATTCAAACATGTCTCAGGAATCATGTCAATACTTCACTGAGGAGTATTCAAATTGTACATTAATTTAGGCTTGTCTTTCACTGCAGCTGTATCAGGCTGCACAGTTCATTCCTCTTGTAAAGGTTTTTAATGTAATAGTTGGAGGATCAGAATAATCTTAAAATTCCTCATATTCCCTTTTAACACTGCTGCACTTGCCTTAGCAATATTTCTAAACACATTCTTTACTGTATGGAATAATTACTTTTCCTTCAATTCCACAGAGGCTGTGTTTTTTATTTAAGAAAATACCTACATTAACAGTGATGTGGGGAATATAAACATGCATTTTGTGGGCAAATGTAAACACACATGCAGAGACAAGTTAACATTTATATATTATGCTTTATCTTGTAATATGAACTATGGGGTTTTTTTGTGTTCCATCCAGAGTGAATTCAACTCAATCCACAGATCATCTGTATCAGTGGGAACAGGAAAATAAAGTCTTACAGAAAACTCATTGATTGCAATACTTTTAACACCATAGATTTTTTTTCCTAATATTATTTTTTTAAATAAAAATAGGGTCTTTCCAACCTCATTTTTGTGAACTGTCAAAATACAGGGAATACTTGGAGGGGAAATATTGCTCTGAGGTACCAAGGCCATGTACGTGTTTGTTCTGAAGCTACTTCTCACTGCTCTGGCAGAATAAAGGCATCTTCAGGGGAATAGTGAGTCCCTATTTTGCTACCACAGCTGTAAAAATTAAGTGTGATAAATAAGCAATGGATCCCTACAGTTTTTCAGAGATGTGTTTTTAGCCTGTGTGCTGTACTTACATAATAAATACAGTCACTTTTTTCTGATAGGAAACTGTGTTCAGCTTTGTATATTAAAAAAGCAAATATACATTCCCACCAACCACTGTGTTGACTGTCAATGATCAGTCAACGATCTATGCTTTTATATTTATGGTTTTATTTAAACTTTTGACCTTATGGAATTGTGGTCAATGGATTTAAATCCAAAACCTGCCAGAAGTCAGCAAAAGCACCAATTCTACTTAATTCATAAAATGTTTTATCTACTGGCTTTGCTGAAGAAACCTGGTATATGTTTAAAGGGGTAGTGTGACAATGCTATCTTCGTGGCTATGCAATATGTTTGCTTAAGCAAACAAGGTCATGCTTTAGACTTAGGAAAACATAAGAGTAAATAAGGAAGGCCAGACTGAACAATTTAAAATTAATTAATACAACTTGGATATCAGTCCTTATGGTGTGTTCTGCTACATCTGTTACTAAAATGTTTTCTGTGCTTTGACACAGAACAAAATTTGTTTTGTTCTTTGTTTTTAGAACAAAACCGGAAGTCTTTCTTGACATCTTCTCTTGCTGCGTGTGATGTTTTCAAAGTGTTAGCATGTATACTAAAATATGTCTTTGTTTCTTCCTTACTCAGCACTGCTTTAAGAACTGTCCAAATCAATATTTAAATACTAGTATTTCATTGACTGCTTAGAAAACACTCATTGTGTATTTTATTTTAATTAGTAAAAATTTATACTTCCAGTCAAATACAACGGTAATACCTCTAAGCAGCAGAATTAATTATATCAACATGAAGTGTATTCCTGGAAAGATATTCTTTCTCCTCCCTGTTTTTCTTTCCTTAACTACATTGTGACTTTGTTCTCTCAGCCAGAAAAACTCAATATATAGGGTGGTAGGGTGGTAATATGCCAATATAGCGTCTCATGCACTTAAAACAGTGACAATGTCAATTAGAGTAGTTCAATGACAAGAATAATTATTATATAGTTCTCTTTTATATAATCTCCAAGTTAACAATCTCCAATCAGCCACAGTAAGAGACAGTTTCCAGGCAAACCTTCAAACTAGGCTCGAAAACATTCCCACAGTTTCTGCAGATTCCTCTCCTGAAACAATCTGGCATCATATTAAAAACAGCATCCTGCAATCCTCTGAAGAATCCTTAGGGTTCTCCCTCAAGAAGAACAAGGACTGGTTTGACGAAAACAACCAAGAAATCCAAAACTTGTTGAGGAAGAAGAGAACAGCCCACTAAGCACACCTTGCACTGCCATCCTGTCATGCAAGAAAAACAGCCTTTCGTCTTGCGTGCAGCAAGCTCCAACAGAAACTCCGTGACATCCAGAACAAATGGCGGATTGATCTAGCTGAAAAAACTCAATTATGCGCAGATACAGGTGATCACAAAGGTTTCTATGAGGCCTTGAAAACAGCATACGGGCCCACATACCAGTTACAAAGTCCGCTACTCAGCGCTGATGGGCAAACACTCCTAACAGACAAAACCCCCATTCTGAATCGATGGTCTGAACACTTTCAGACTCTTTTCAGTACCAACCGTATAGTCCAAGATTCAGCAATTCAGTCCATCACACAACAACCGGTACAATATGAATTGGATACTGCCCCCACTTTAGGAGAAACCCTCAAGGCCATACAGCAGGTGAAAATCGGCAAGGCACCTGGGGTTGATGGAATTCCACCAGAAATCTGGAAACATGGGGGCCTTGCACTCCACACCAAATTTCATGAGTTTGTGGTGCGCTGTTGGGAGCTCGGTGAACTACCATCAGACCTTCGTGATGCAGTCATCATCACTTTGTATAAGAAGAAAGGTATCAGATCAGATTGCTCAAACTATCGTGGTATTACTCTGCTCTCCATTGCTGGCAAAATCCTGGCAAGAATACTCTTGAACAGACTAATACCCACTATAGCAGAAGGAATCCTTCCTGAAAGTCAGTGTGGCTTCAGAGCCAACAGGAGCACCACAGACATGGTATTTGTCCTCAGACAACTGCAAGAGAAGTGTAGGGAACAGAACAAAGCTCTCTACGTAACCTTTGTCGACCTCACCAAGGCTTTTGATACTGTGAGCAGAAAAGGTCTGTGGCAGATTTTGGAACGCTTAGGTTGTCCCCCCAAGTTCCTTAAAATGATCATCTCACTCCACGAGGATCAGCACAGCCAAGTCAGATATGACAACACACTTTCTGAGCCCTTTTTAATTAAGAATGGTGTGAAACAAGGCTGCGTTCTCGCTCCTACCCTATTCACAGTCTTTTTCAGCAGGATGCTCCAAAGGGCCACGGCAGACCTCGAGGATCAGGATGGTATCTACATTCGATACCGTACTGATGGAAGTCTATTCAATCTAAGGCGTCTGAAGGCCCACACCAAGACCTTAAACCATCTTGTCCGAGAGCTGCTTTATGCTGATGATGCCGCCCTCGTGGCCCACACAGAAGCAGCTCTGCAGCGTTTAACATCCTGCTTTGCAGATGCTGCTGAGCTCTTTGGACTGGAAGTCATCTTAAAGAAGACTGTGGTCCTCCATCAGCCTGCACCTCAAGAAGTCCCCCATCATCCCCATATCACCATTGGCCAATCAGAGCTCAAATCAGTCCAACAGTTTAATTACCTCGGTAGCCTCATCTCCTCAGATGGTAAGATCGACGGAGAGATAGACAACAGGATAGCTAAGGCATATAGTGCTTTTGGAAAACTCCACAAAAGAGTATGGCGTAATAAACACTTGAAGAAAAGCACCAAGATCAGTGTTTACAAAGCCATAATGTTGTCGACTCTCTTATATGGATCCGAATCATGGGTCATCTACCGCCACCACCTGCGACTCCTAGAACGCTTCCATCAACGCTGTCTCCGTACAATCCTAAACATCCACTGGTCAGACTATGTGACCAATACATCTGTTCTAGAGCAAGCAGCTATCACAAGTATTGAGGCCATGTTGCTGAGAACACAGCTGCGATGGGCAGGGCACGTCTCCAGGATGAAGGACCACCGCCTCCCTAAGATCTTGCTCTATGGTGAACTTGCCACTGGCTGCCGCAACAGAGGAGCCCCAAAGAAAAGATACAAGGACTCCCTGAAACAACATCTCAGCCTTGGCCATATTGATCACCATAACTGGTCTACTCTGGCCTCCAATCGGGAGGCCTGGAGACACACCATCTATAACGCAGCTGTCTCCTTCGAGAACACTCGCAGGATCACTCTTGAGGAAAAAAGGTAATGCAGAAAGAACCGTGTATTGCAGAATACACCATCTAAGGAGTCTTTCTGCTGTGCCTTTTGTAATCGGATATGTCTGTCACGTATTGGCCTCATAAGCCACCAGTGTGCCTGTAGCAAATGTGGATAGAGCCTTCCCAAATCTTCGTTCGCGAAGCCTAGCCATGACATTTATATAATAATATTGTCAGGCTTGTCACATTTACTATCTTCCTTACATAGCATTAGAGAAGAAATGTGTACCATTTTAGGAATTCTAAAGATGATATGAACCAAAGTCTGGGAAATGACCACTCAAGAACAAAGACCTTGAGGTCAAAATAGTTCTATGAGAACACTGTTTCAAGGCCAGGAGCATTCAAAACAACAAATGCTTGGCCTTAAATAGGAAAAGTCTTCTGAAATGTAATTATGCAACTGTACAACTCTGTGGCATACCCACAGCTTTACCACCCTGAGTAGATACAGTGCATCTTTCCCCTCCAATGCCCACACCAAGGCACATAAGAAGGACAAGAAAGATTTTAATGGATACAGGTATTCTTTCCTCCATTACAAATCCAAGGGGTTATTGACTGTGTTCAAAACAAAGGAAACGGTTTTTAACACTGGGTGTTAAGTTGCAGAAATTTTTGGTACAGAATGATTATATTAAAAGCTTAAGTGGCTTAAAGAAGTTACTGGACAAATTAATGGACTATTCTGTGTGTCTGGTTTTATAGGTTTGGTTAAGTAAATTCTGGAATGGCTGCTGAGTGCTGGGAGACCTTATTGTGGGAGTATCGTGCCATTATCCCAGGGAGTTCTGTAAGTATTCACTATTAACTGTAAGTATTCACTATTAACTGTGTCAGCAACAGGGTACTGGCCTGAACGTACCTGTGGTCTGGCCAAATGGGTTCATTTTTGTTATTCACCCATAAAACTTCACCAGATGAGATGACAAAGACAGGGACTAACACAACAGAAGAGCAGGCATTTGCAAGGGTAAAGATAACATTCTGCACTACTTTAAGCAGGATAAAATATTACAAAAAACCCTAAAGCCTCATGCCTTATAGCATATCTAAATCAACCATGGACAGATGTTAGGAAGAAATGTACTATGTAGGACATTCCATAAGGAATCTTCTACATATTGCTCAGAAGCATCTGGTACAAGCAACACTTGCTCACTAGTGAAACCAAAATCTGGGCTGCAACAGAAGGACAACTAATAAATTCTGCATTTAATCAACTCACAGGTCATTGATGATTACCAGTTTAATGCCTCACATTCTTAGCTAGAAATGCCCACACATTATGAGAGGTTTTTTTCCCCATACATATCGCAGGGATCAGAGCAGACCCACATCCAAAAAACGCAGCGGCATTTTACCTAATAGAAAGAATATCCACAGGAACCCTGAAGTGATTTGATAAATTCAAATTATGCAGTGATTAAAACCATATTGAAACCAAGATTCACAATCGCAAGTGAAGAAGCCACTGGCACAGCAGTGGCACAAGAGGTCTAGACAAACAATTCTGCTGGAAATTCTGATTGTAGACAATACTGTTCTTGCTTTAATTTCATCCCTTTGCTAAAAAGCCAGTAGCATTTCTCTAGAATCCAAATCTGTCTTCATGGTGATTAATATTGGGTATAATCACCCACAGACCCACTACTATAAATGTTTGTTGTGCCTGTTGGGTGCTATACCACGTGGGGTTCCCTTCACTGACAGGGATGTAAGATTATTTACACTGTGCTTTCCTTACTGCGTTAATTAGGTCTGGCAAACAACATATTAAATGACACCTCACAGTCCGAGTGCCTGTCTTACTGGGATAGTAGTGGATGCAAAACAACTGGAACACCAAGGAGGCTCTTAATAAAACCTTAATCTTCAGCACATTCCATCAAACCAGGATGTACTAACTAACTGCCTTAATTATCTCATGGCTTCCAGGTCACAAATTTGACAATGAATTTACAACAATCTTATTTTAAACTACATTTATTATCAATGTACTTGTGATTCATTTGCCTAGGTTGATGTTGATGCTGTACTGTGATTATTTTCACAGTTGTTAACTCTGAGCCATTTTAAAAGTGCTGTGAGCACAGACTGAAATATAACTGAATTCTGCTAATTGTACCACACTGCATCCCTTTCCTTCAAACACAGGAAGAGAGAATCATAAAAAAATATGAAATTAAAGAAAAAATGATATCAGAGAGGTTCTATTGTGGCTGATGAGTTATAAAAAGACTGCAAACACAGTTACAGGGTAGAGTTTACTGTGGAGTTTTTCCTTTTCTCCTAACAGAAAAACAGTAAGAATGATGTAATTACACAGTTCTCTGAAATCACATGGAGTATGAATCAAAATTATTCATTTGAAAATGTTTCAATAACAGGAAAAGGCCAAAGAGACACAACAGTGATTCTTCATCATGCAGAGATTGCTTCTGTTGGGTCTGAGCAAGATGGAGGAAGCAGAGTGATGGCTTTGCTTTTCTTCCTTTTGTGTAGCTTTGAACACTGAAAATCCTGTCACACATTACTGTGGTCCTGGTAACTCCAAAGGCAGAGGAAGAGCTGTCATGGAAGCTGAACACTAAAGTGATGCACCCTAATAAAATGACAGTATCAGAGGTGGTAACAAATACTTAGATGGAAGCCTAAGCTTGATAGTAAGTGGTGGGACAGCGTCCAGAAGAGTATGTGCAGGAATAATGGAAGGACCTATATCTTGAAAGATCAGCTAATTGAAAATTGAAGCAAATAACACAAATCCATTTTTTTCCATGTAATAGAAATTCCACATAATTTAAATGTTACTAAAAGGCGGCATGTGAAAAATTCCACTAAAAAGTCTGAATGCTGCTGAGGAAGGCATTAGTAAAAACCTTATTGACATTCATGTTCTACTCTGGGCACCAAGTTCTTGAAGGGTTCCTCCAGTTTGGCTGAAATTCAGAGAAGGACTAGAGAAAAAAGCCCAGGGGATTGTAAAGTTTATTTTATTTTAAGACCCCAAGATAGAAGAGTATAGGAAATTTGCCAAAATAACAGCTGTCTTTGAAAATACTTTTGAGATTAGAAAAACACCACAGTGAGAAAATAGCTTTCTAAGTTAAAGGATGACTTGGCACAGGCAAAAAGAGGTTATAGAAGTTAAAAGATTTCTAGCCATCTGAGGAATGAGAGGATCATATGGTTGTAATAGGAGGAATAAAGGGGGAGGATTCCCTTTTTTTACTAAGTTTGACACATATCTAACAATGACTGTAGTTGTGTTCACCACAGCTGGAAGGGCTGCTTTGGTTCATGTTTTGATTTGTGTTTGGGTTTTTTAATTGCCTGTGTTCCTTTGCTTCTAGTGCTTGTAACCTGAAATTGCATCTAAAATACAAACACCACTCATAAGTAACGAGTGTCCTTCAGATGCACACAAGATGCCACAGGAATAAATACCAGGGCTCAGGTGGTTCATGAGTATCAACTGTGCAAGCTCTGAGCGAGGACAAATGGAAATAATTTGAGTGAATTCAGTAAAATGGTTCCCATAACTTGAATGATGTCACATTTCCCAGTAACTATGAGGGTCCACACGAATTATTAGCACTTATGGTTCATGAATACTTTTTCCTCACACATGAGATTTGTTCATGTTTCTAGTCTAGAGTCACTGTAATAACGCAGATGAAATATTTCTTCCCTAAAATTTTCCTTTATCTACAAGAAATATTTCAGCAAGAGTGGATTTTCTGTTCTAAAACCAGCAAGGATTTATGACCCTTACTCATCTTTGCCTTTGATATCACAATGGTTTCTGCAATATATCAGTGACAGTCTTGAATTTTAATTTGTAATTGATAAAATCTTGAAAGGAGCTATTGTCCAATGCCCCTGAAAAGAGAGATGTGCTGGGAGAATATCTGTCAAGATCAGAAATGGGGACTCAAGACATTTTACCTAGTTTTTCCACAAATCTGATCACAACTGTAGAGACGCAAAATAAAAATTCTTCATCTTGTTATCTGGAATTCAGGGAGACACATGACAACAAGTAACAGACTGTTGCTGCTTCCTAGATACTAGAAGAGCAAGCCTTGTGTATGAAAATAAAAAGTGAGGTAAAAAGATAGAGTACTTAAGGGTGTGGAAACAGTGACCATACCATGCTACACCAGGCCTAAAAGGTACAGGAAGAGAAACGTTTTAAATGTGATATTTGCACACTGCCATTTCCCTACACTGCTGGTAGTGCCTGGCCCTAAAACAACCAACCCCACCTAGTGAGGAGGTGTGTTCAGCTCCTAAGCCACCACTGCAGCTCTCAGCCAGGCTGCTCCAGTTACCCTGCTCCTGGTGAGGGGGTTCTGGTGCGGGGTTTTCAGCCGTCAGACGTTTTAAAAATCCAGTGGAAATAAAGTAGACCTTACAGCTCTAACACTTTGATGATGAGATATAATTCTTTTAAATGCAAAAAAAAAAAAAAATCACCTCAATACTGCGAGTATTCAGAAGCTGAAACAGCCACTGCTGAGGGGCAGAGGTGGAAGGAAGATAATCCAAGTACAAGACAACCCAAGTTTTATTCCTCTCTTTCATTATTGTTATAATTGTTCTTATTATTACAACTTACATTTTATTTTGTTTAAATTATTAAGCTTTTTATCTCAACCCATGAGGTTTATTGTTTTTTCCAGGTGACTGATAATGGTTCTTAGTTGCCAGCTGGGGTTAAACTGGGACAATAACTCTTATGTATATATATTTGTATGTATGTATATGTATATTATATATAATATGTATTTTATATCTATTTGTATGTATGTATAATATATGTTATATATATTTGTAGGTATGTGTATGTATATTACATATATGTATTTATATCTATTTGTATATATGTATATGTTATATATATTTGTAGGTATGTATATGTATATTATATATAATATGTATTTTATATATATTTGTATGTATTTGTAATATATATTTTATATATATTAATATTTGTATGTATGTATATGTTCACTGTTGTTCCAATATATAAATATACACATATACATACATATATGAATGCACACACATTTATATATACATACATACATACTATATGTCTAAAATGTTGCATTCATAGCTTAAGGGAGTTCACAAACATTCACACATACATACAAATGCATCTGCAGATAAATATATGTCCATACATATCTGTGAATGTACACTTATATTTAAGAGTGTGTGTGTGTGTGTAAGTGTATATAAACATTAATATGTATGAAGAAGAGAATCCACACATATATTAAGATAGGATCTATATATCCACGGCTTCAGAAAGGGAGAACAGAAGGAAAATCAGAGAGTAGATCTAAAAATGTCATGAGCACTTAAGTAAGTGACCTCCTTAGGTGTCAGAGGTTCTGTGGATGGATGGGTGTGGGACAAACTTTACTGCACTGCTGCATGAACAACCCACCTGATCCGCAATGAGCCGCGCCAGGATGTCCATCCTGGAGCCTGACTCCGAGATCATCTTTGCTGCGTTGATCACATCGGATGTGTGCTTCAGTGGTCCTCTCCCCCTGCAAAGGAAACAAATGAAACTCTGCTATTCAACAACTGAGGATAAATCATATCCATGCACACCAGGCACAGAAGAACTCAAACAAAGCAGCTAATCCACACAAGTGACATTAATTAAATTTCCCCCGGCCCCAACTGTTTTGTTTTCACATCCCACAAATTTGTATTGTTTGGCATCAACTGGATGCAGAAGTACCAGAAAGATGTCACACAGTGTTTTCATACTGGAAGCGCAACCTAGTCCAAATCAGGATTTTAAGAGATTTCTTGTGCAGTTTGGTTTTCCCAGGCTTATATGAAGTTCCTCAAATATGAAGTTCCTTCCACAAATTTTCTTGTAAATATGTTCAAAGGAAGTTCAGCACAGAGATGAATTCAGAGAGTCATTATGGATACCTGTTGTTTTTTGGGTTGTTTTTTTAACTTATTTCGTGCACCCAAGAGAAAATAGAGATAATGAACAGATCTGCAAATCAACTGGTATATGCCACTCAAAATACAGATATGCCACATCTGAAAATACTTTCCAAACAATTTCACAATTTCTTCAGAATTTTCAGCCTAGGAAAACAGTAAAGTTCTTGCGAACAATTTGCCAAGAAGTGATTATCTTTAGTTTTATTATGTGCACATTTAATTCCTGAATGCCCCATATCAATTTATAAGTTCTGCATTGGACAAAGGAAGTAGACAACATGAAAAAAATTAATATAGTTCTTTGTTCAAATGAGAAGACCCTTTTCCTCAAAGTCAGTATGGTTTCATGTATAAAGAAGATTTACCATTCATTCCAGTAAAAAATTCATTTAGTCTAAAAGTATTATCATATATAACTATACAAACACTTCATTCAGTAAAAAGACAGTGATGACAACGTGGTAGATATGTTTAATCTCATCCTGATTAATCATGTTGCTTAGCAAAGAACTATTTGTTAATCCTTGGGAGTAAGGCAGACTAATTACAGTTCCTTATTCTCAACTTTTAAAGCTCACATTTGGAACAACCTAGAATCAGGTATTTTACACATTATTTTTTCTACAGAAAGGTATCTTCTTGTTATGAAAAACCTACTTAGCAAGTTGATCAGTTTAAAACAAAATAATAGGGTATGTGTCCAGGATGAAGTACTTCAACTTTTACCCATGCCCTTCATTTTCCTTTCCTGCTATTTTCCCTTTGAACCCTTAGGTGCACAACTGAATCCTTACAACTGCACATTGGCCCTCCCCACCATATCGGGCCACTAATTAGTTTATAATTTATAATTTTCACTGTGGCAGGTTCCAAAGCTCAGAGGTCTGTCAGTCATCCATAGCAAGTCCCTCAGGTGCTCCACAAACTATCAGCAGTCCGGTACCCTCCTGGAAAGGTCCAACCCCGTCACCAGCAAGATAACATTAAAGGTGAACACAACCCAGAATTAAAGCAGCCAGGAAAGGAGAGATGTAACAGTCCAAGGCTATTTCTGGTAAGGAAATTCTTGTGAGTATCAGCCAGCAGCTTTTTTGACATCTGAAGCTATGTTGAAAGGGTATTTTGAAGGTGAAGTTCTTCAATTAAACTAGCAATTTCTTGAACCTGTGCAAGTCCCTCAGAGATCTAATGAGAATGAAGCAATTCTACCCAAGAAAGGTTATTTCAACCAAATGAACAGGAAGTATTTCCTTTCCCCACAAATACGGCCACCAGGAGAGCCATTAGAGGAACCTCAGCAATGACTTTTCTGGACACTTCTGCTCCACTTGCCACCTAATTGCACCAATGGTTCAAGTTCTCTATTGGAGTCTCTAAGCAATGTGGGGCAGGATGCTTCTGAGCTCTAAGCCACAGTTCAGTCTTGAAACGAAGGTTTAGTGTTTAGGAATGCCTCAGCCTTGTATTAAAAAGCGCTGAAATCCCAGCATGCTAAATTACACATACAAGGAGGGCTCCTTTGCTATACAACCAAGAACTATCCGTACTCCTTTTTTTACCTTCAGGTAAAATGCAGAGCCTTTGACATAAAGCACAGGTGTAACTGCCTCGGAGTACGGCATAATGAGCCATTATGAGGTTTAGCAATTCTAAGTACTTAGAAAAGAATACTTGGGAGAGTACACCAAGTCTGCTGAATCACCAGGCAAACAGAAGAAATAGAAAGAAAAAAGACAAACCAGGATGATACTTCAATGGGAACAGCTGCAAACATTAAATTTGGACATTACATATTAAGTGCTTAGAGGAAGAGAAAGAAAGAGAGAGCCTATATAGTAGTTTTTTACAGAGCCAGAGGGGCTAATACAGTGGGTCAGCCTGAACAGTAGTTTGTGAGGCGGTTGCTGTTATGAAAACAGCAGATGTCACACCCAAGGTGGACAAAGCAAGCTTTCCTTCTGCTTTCTCCATTTGGGTAAGACTGCAGCTGCAGTTCAGGGAGAGGGGTTCCATGAAGAACGTTTTTGACACGGTGAAAAATGTGCAAAAAGGATGATCAGACACGTCATAAACATAAGGAGAGACGGAAGGGTTCAGTGGGGCAAAGGAGGAAGTACGAGCAGGAGAAGCTGTAGGACACAGATGGTAACTCTTCAAAGGAGCTTCGTAGGGGATAGGGGAGGTGGGATGGAGCTCACATTCTGGAAAAGCAGGTTCAGGTGAGGTGCTGAGCTCGGGGGGAACCAGAGCAGAGCAGCCAGGAGGCTTTGGCATCACTGCCAATGGACAAGACCAGACAGACATCTGTTGTGAGGGACAGGGTGGTATCAGTCCCCTTCTGAGGTCTCTTCCAGCCCAATGATTTTATAATTTTAAATTTAACAAAGAAGTTGCATGTTTTTTGGTGAATGATTACCAGTTGCAATGCATGTTGCGTTCTAATGTTATCGATGCAGATGTGCACTTTTGAATTCCCAGTTTTCCTGATTTACCACCAGATCAGCAGATTCAGAATGCCACTTACTCAGATTAACTCCCTGGATCCAGATGTTAGAAACACAAAAAGTCCATTAAATCATCTAGGTTGTTTTCCCCAGTCATTACACAGCTCCCTACCAGTTTTATATTCACTTGCATTTTTTCTGGCAAGTTTGAAGTATGAAAAACACTTTGCTTGGAAGGCTGTTTCCCTGAGCTATCCATTTCACTCTCTGGAACATTTTTCCAGATATTTCACTTAGTTCTTTCTCCATGTCATTGTAACAGCATCCCTTTCCTTCTATAGATGTAGTCCCCGATCCTCCTCCACCACGTGCTGAAGCATCCCAAATTGTGGTAATAGTACAGACCTGCAGGCATTAGTACAGACCTGCAGGCATTAGCTTGGTTCATGCACCTACAGCCAATAAAGAAACTAGACAGATAAAAAAATCCTCCCACCAAGTACCATCTGCTGGTCAACAGCATCACAAAATTGCTCCTTCATAGAGTTTTCCACCTTTTCCCCTACATAAATTTCTGTGCTATGGCAACCATGTAATTTATTTTTTTATTATTTTTTGAGTGAGCCTTATCTTACTATTTTTTCCCTGCTTCCAGTCTCTGAAATGTTTAAAGCCAAACCTCATCCACACACTCAGTTATTGAAATTCTTTCCCAATGATTTCACTAATTCATAGCCTATAGTAGACTCTAAATTCCTGATCTGGATTGATTGCATGGACGATCTAATACACCTATTTTCCTCACACTTGACTATTTCCAAGCATGAAGCCTTACTGGCTAAGCAAGCTGATAACGCAGTCAAGGTTGTGAAAACAAAGAGGAGACACAAAGTACTACATTTACAAGCAGGTATGTCTCCAAGGTAGTGATGGATTGTTACTACAGCTCAAATCACTGCTCTATCCAACAAGAAAACCGGGAATAGGCCAAAAATAATATGAGAGGGAGACGTCAAGCTAAGTCTAACTAGAAGAAAAATAGTTGGATTGTGTACAAAGAAAGCAGTTTAGAATATCTTCAATAGGTGTAGGAGAAAAAAATCCAACAAACTTCACATAAATGTTTCTTGCAAGGTACAATCATAACAAGAAAAAAGTTGGACTATGTTAATTAGTACAACACCAAGGGGTTTGGATAAATGTGAAAGACAGACTGAAGCTGCTCAATCTAATCATTCTTGCTCCAAGCCCTGAGAAACAGTGTGCCTGAAGAGAAACTCCATCCCTGTCTGCATAAACTTAACTGCAATGATTAGCAGACATCAGTTTCAGGCATTATTTCCTGTTGTCCTTCACACTGAAAAGCAATGATGCTCTCTCAATTCTTACTAAAAAAGAAACTTGTATTCTTATTTCAAATCCAAGAAGCTTTTGCCATCCATCACCTTTTCCAAGAAAAGCCTCCTGTCTCGGAGCAAAGCTAAGTGGCTTCTCCCTCCTCACTGCGTTCACCTCAGCAAATGTTTTGTACTTCCCCTGCGTCAGAAACAGCAATGGAGAGCTCTACTGACTAGTCAGTCTCAAGAGAGAAACTCCTTCCTAACACACACCCAGCACCACAAACCACCATCACACATAAGGAGTGAGTTCAAAGCACTTCAAAGTGTGAACTCGAAGCTTCACAAGCACTGTCACAGGTCAGTGGCCACTGTCACATTAAAGTCTTGAGCTCCACACACTGACCACCCCATCATCGGTCCTAGTTTCTAGATCAGCAACTCCTGACAGCTCCCACTTGTTAGCTCCCACTCCTTACTTTACTCACAGAGACAGAATGATACTCCCAAACACAACTGTTCTAGAGCAAGCAGCTATCACAAGTATCGAGGCCATGCTGATGAGAACACAGCTGCGTTGGGCAGGTCATGTCTCCAGGATGAAGGACCACCGCCGCCCTAAGATCTTGCTTTACGGTGAACTTGCCACTGGCTGCCGCATGAGAGGAGCCCCGAAGAAAAGATACAAGGACTCCCTGAAACAACATCTCAGCCTTGGCCATATTGATCACCATAACTGGTCTACTCTGGCCTCAAATCGGGAGGCCTGGAGACACACCATCTATAACGCAGCTGTCTCCT